TAGTTCAGCATATAACATTTGTGTTCTCGGGTGTGTCCGGGCGGATTGCCTTCTCAAGAATCCTAAAATCAACGTAACCATCGTGGAATGTTTCACCAGCTGTCTTGTCTGAGGAAAACTTTCAGGGTCTACGGTTCGGCGTTAACGACAGCAAAGTTGAACATATGTCTAGGTCCACACATCAACTGGGTCTCGAAGATTGCCGTTGAAGTTTCATGGTAATGTCAGTACTGTGTCAGTGAACAGCTTCGTCAACCAACTAAAAACCAGAGGTCCATGAGAATGATGAAGATGCGTTTTTTCTTTCATTGTGCTGGCTGTAGCCATTATTAGCGTTTAGATTCATATCAATCTGTCTTGAGGCTACTCAGTTTATACTACAGATCACCAAAACAATATGAAGAGGCTGTAAAACTACCCTTGGTTAACCCTTGGGATTGTACTAAAGCCTGAGGCGTTCGAATCTACAAGTCACTCATGAGTGGTGTTCGCTTTTACGGCGTAGTAGCCGATTAGATAAATAAGACCGGTGACAGCTGCCCACTTAGAATTATCCCAGAGTTCAAAATCTCCTAATGTGTAACTGATAACACCATTCCATTTTGGTTACAAGGCCTGTCCCACAGTGATATCTAACAGAGTTTCTCTTGTTTTTAACATTTCTTTGATAACAGATAAGCGGTAAACAATACACTCCTAGTGGGCAGTCGAAAGCCGATGCAATCGGGAAATTCTTTTTGACATACTACTCCGACTTTGTTGCCTCGGCCATCACCATGACAACCGTAGAGAGGACACTGTGCGTGATTGGTAGATGACAATCAGCTGGTCATCACAGGAAGTGTCACGTCAATTTAACCTTCAACCAAGATGTGGTACGAAGTACAACGAACCAAATTAATTATTCCACCAAAATCAGCAATCAGCTGATGCCTCAAGTGGATGAAAGAAATCGATGGGGAATCGGCAATGAAGTCATTTAACCACTGGAAAACCATACATTCTTTGAGTAAACCAACAATATCAACTCTTCCGTAAAAGAATATTTGTCATAGCTTGAAGACATCCAACTTTCTGCTCAACAAACCTGGTTAACTTCAGTTGAAAAAAGTGATAGTGGAATTTTTTAACATAAGTGCACTCAGGTGAGCAGAAAAAATTGGATGCCGAATTACAGTGATCACGTTGCTCTTTAAGTCTTCGTGGAATGAAAGACGTTGCTCTTTGAATTGTCGGTCAAGCGTGTTCTGCATTTTTGTGGACAAAAGCTGAAGCATCTGCGGTCTTACCTGGTTAGTTTAAGGTGCCTGCGGACTTTATAAAACAGGCACTCATATTACTCTATCTTGAGCAGTCTTCCTAGAGATTCAGAGCAATTATTCTCATGAGTCCACACCAAAGCGGGAAAAAAGAACTGCGCTAGAGTTTCACTCCCGTTGGAGCTTGTTAGAAGTACGTATCCTTGACCGATTTTGGTTTGAAATCTGTATATCTTACGTTAGAGACGAGGGTGTTATCACAACTCCACCAGGGCACCCGGGACGCGTTTACGCTTGTGTGATGTCAGCACACCAGAACAGGATGAGGACCGTCCAAACGAGGACGACGTGAATGCAAAATCTGCTTTGCTTCTGAAGGTTATTAGCAGACGTCGTAATACTTCAGTCTACTTCCTAAAATGCTATTCGTTTGGGAGAAAACCCTCTAAAAAATCTTCCACACCTCACAGCCACAGGTACCGTTGATGGACGACACCTGTGAAGTGTTAAAAGCCTCTTTGTCTGACGGAATTTAGGAGAGACGTGGTAGACAATACTGATTCATACAAATTCAGAGTTTGGTGGGCAAGGGATGACAGGTCATCTCCTAGGCAGTGATAAAAATTCCTGAGGATATCAGTGTGAGTGGAGTAGAAACAGAGGGACGGATAACCGCGTGCAAAATGGGTTTACGTCGGTCGTACCGGTATTCACTAGAAGTTTTGTCCTTTCAGTCAATCTACGCTGAGAACGCTTAGAAACGGCTCTTTCATTGTTGTGGGGAATCATTAGCAGCGCGCATCTCATGAAACCTGTGGAGTCTTCAACCCGTAACCCTCTGGTCAGTTGTCGAAAAATTGACCGTTTGGCGGCTCATCAGTAATGTGATTAGCTCTCAGTCAGACAGCATATAAAGCCACTCGTCCCTCAGTCATGCAAGATCCCATCATGTGATCACGTATTGACTGGTTCCTTGAATTGTAACTAGTCAGCTGATAATGTGGTGATACTAAATAGGAAGAGCCAACAACTGATTTCGGTTGGAATTAAACCGATAAGAGCACAGGTTGTCTCTCCCGTAACAAATTCTGTTTATCATTTACTAACGCACAGTAAAATCGTAAACAATACGCAAAACGTACAGGCTGCAAAGTCCAAGCAAAAACGATATTAAATTGCCTCAAAACGCGCCGGTCACAGAATGTTGGGGCTCACACAGACAAACAGGCGTTTTCAACCGATATCCCCGTGTTTCGTTCAAGACGAATGTAGACGAAGGATGCTCTGACTGCGTCAAGACCCGTCAAACTACTCATTTGACTTCAGCGCCAAAGGTGAAAAATTGCCAAGCAATACACTCACCGAAGGCTTGTCAAGCTTTCCTGAATCAACATGACATTTTTTTATAAAGAAGTCCCCGAGTTTCCGTTAACCTGATGTTCTATTTGAACCCCATCTCACTTCAAGTGACCTGGATTCAAATCACAATGCTACCAAGATATGTACTACTGATGATTCTAATGAAGGAAAACTTTGATTCCAGTTCGTTCCTCATTCAGTGCAGACTGTCCCGATCGACTGCTTGATGGCAGAGTGAAGAGTGTTCAAACGAGAGTGATATCGATCCACAGTACATGTACGCTGGACGCACGGGCAATGGTTAGGCTCTTTTCGTAAGTAGCATCCCAGAAAAAGACGATTTTATAATCGATTGAAGGGGTGGTAATTTATGCAAACTGAATTTTAGAGAACATGTATTGCACGCCGTAGTTTTTTTAATATTCGTTCCCTTCAGATGTCCGTTACTTGAATACATGTTTTTCGTTTCAGCAAATGTTTCTGCAACTTATGGGATGATAACTTATCAATTCCTAGGTGCGACTCCAAAAAGAGACTTTGAATGTCCTCCAGAAGAAAGAAAATAACCCAAGAAAAGCCGTAGTTTCAGCTGAATAGTTCTACTGCTTCATCAACTCCATGAAGTGTCTCGTTCATTGATCTACGCTGGTAGAGAGGGCTTCACCTTTCTACGGATTCCTTCCGATATCCTCGATTCTTCACAAGGTGATAAGGCATTTTTTTGAACTTCCTTGTGCATTTTCAAGGATATTGAAGAGCAGAACACCATTAGTCCACTGGAGGCCAAGTCGATGGGCAACGGGTAGTCACATCAAACTCAGATTTGAACTTGTCTTGACTTTGCGAAATCGCTGCTTTCGACCTGATTAGATGCTAGACTAATGGAAACAGGGGGCATCTAGCGAACTACACTACCAATTCGGTTTTGACCGGAGACCCATCTGTAACCCAGCTGAATTTCTCTAATTTAAAACAGGCAGATGGAGATCAAATCGCCACTTTGGTGAAAACAGTAGGCTCACCTGTGTCATCTGCTTTTGACGGACAGTCACCTTGTGTCATTTTTTCTCAACGCCGAACGCCTTCTGATAGAGGCTAAAAGAGGAAACGACTTTCTTACATCATCAGTTGGGCAACATAAAAAATAAGAACACATCATGTTTCTCGAAAAAATGCATTCAGATGAAAAGTCATTCGATCACCAAATTTTCCAGACAAAACTTTCGTAGTTAAAGTCATAGAAATTCGAAATTCTTTGGTAACAAAATAAGATAATCTGACTGAATACGGCTCTCAGGGAAGCCTGATCCTGGTCGGCTGTTTTATGGCTTTTCCGTAGAAATCGGTAGACTTAAATCAGCATAATGAGATGGAATTGGCAAAATTATTACGAGTGAAAATTTGAAACGATGGGTGAATGGTCGTCAAGTTGAAGGATCAAACAACTTCATGGATAAACCGGTTCCACAAACTCAGTTTTAGTAAACACCAGTTCGTAATAAAGTACCGGATACTCAGACGAGAGATTCAGCTGGGATTCAGGGGAATCTCTCGATTTAACAAAATTGGTGCGCAAATGAAAGTATTTTGCAAATCTGGTTAAATCTGGGTTCAAGTAGAACATAAAATTGAGGGAAACCTGGAAACCCCGTCTACCTGATGGGCCCTGAAAAGGGGAAAACTGGAGTTTGGCTGTCGTGGAATTTTCAGTGGTCTTGTGAACGTGGTGTTACGTCTAGGTAACCAAGTACTGCAACATCTCGGCAGCTGAAACATGATGCGGCATGGTGCAGCGCGGATTCCGTCCTGTCAGTGAAGTCATTCCAGACTGAAAAGCCGAAAAGCACAGTACAGCTCTTCCATTCGAACTGGGAAGTATCACTGGTGCGCATCTCACAACACTCAGAGTTTCGAACGAACAAGCTTTCGGCCAGTGATCGACTACAACCGTTTGGTGAAGAGTGGCTCATCAACAGTGTGGTTAGCTCTCACCGCTCCTCATTCAATCACAGAAACCACATCACGTGGTAACGTACTGACTGATTCCTTAAGTAACGAGTTCAAGAATCTCTGGAGCTTCGTGAAATGCGCACCGCTGATGATTCTCAGTGGGAATGAGACAGCTGTACGATGCTTCTCGGCCTTGCTGCATAGATTGGCTGCACTTACCGGACGAAATCTCCAGCATACTACTAAAATGCCCCATGATGACTTGAATGCTGACGAGCTCGAAGTCGATGAACTGAGCGCGATAATTTCACTTCGACATATCGAGTGGAGACCATGCATAACACCTTAGGTTCTTTGGAAAGTTCGCGTCATAAACCTCGTTTTCTGTCGTTTAGGACGCAAGCTCACCTGTGTGCTTCCCACTGGGGTGTTTCGTTCACACACAAATCAACAGACAGAAGGTGAACTATATAAAGTGTTGGGGGTAGCTTTACCCGTACAATGCGACTGTGAGGATGTTGCTGAATTACTGAAAATCGTACAAAGGTAGGGATCCGTTAGTTTAGCTTCCCGATGCCTTCTATGTACTTTTATGGATCATTACTGTCTATCAGGTTAGAATGTTAACGCCTCATTATTGTAATGTACCAGTGAATTTCTAACTAAAAACCCTCATGAGTACTATAAGTCTACCTGTGGTCAGTATGAATACAATTCCTTTTGAAGAAAATTCTTCCAAGAAGGGAACGATTACGGGGTTCTTTCCAAGGATGAATCGCTGTACCGTACGACCAAGTTGAAACGTTCTTCAGTACTCTTGTAGCACTGGAGCACTAGAAGAACAGTGGACCCTCGCCAAAACAGAACGCCCAAAATACCGACCTAAATCGTTTCTTGTTGCGGCAAACGCTTCCTTTCAGAACCCTGTATTAGGATAAAATCCACTGGTTCATTTCGGAGAGCTTGTTCTACTTTTCGGATGTCTGTGAATCTGATAAATTCTGTCTTGTGTTTCACACAAAATTGTTCCTCGAAAGTGATGTAAGCACAAACACTTGGATGGACTTGGTTGTTCACGGTGTGATTAAGTTCACATGATCTGTAGTTTAAATCAGAAAATTCGCACAAAGAACCCGGAAAGAACGAACTGAATGCTATTTTCTTCAGTTTGCTTCTCTGAATCCGCCAGATTGACCGGTGTTCCAGATACGTTGTTTGAACTAGGCAGTTTCCGGATGAGCAGAGCCGACCAAAAGGGCACAAATTTGAGGCTGTGCCTGTTACCTACCATTGAACACTGAATCAAATAAAATCGATTTTAATCAGAGTTTGGGCAAATTTCATGCTCAACCTGAGAAAAGACCTTGTTTCTGACAGGAAATTGTCGTTTGGGCGCCTTCACTTTTCATGCCAGCGTGAAAAAAAACAGGTTGGATACCGACATCCATCACTAGTGTTTGCAATTCAAAACCGCTTTAGTGGTTTCGCTTCTGGCCACCTAGAAGCCTCATAGGTTAACTTAGCAAATTTGGAACACTTAAACATCACCGAATGAGGGTGACAGTGGAAAGCGATCGATTTTCGCACCTTAGAGTCAACTTAAATTGGGCTTTTTATGTCCAGTTAGACCGCCATGTTTGGACCAGTTCAGTGACCAAGCCTAACCCAACTTAGCTTCATTGTTAGAACCGAAGTTCAGTTTGAGCATCCTCTCGTGCACGATGTACTCTTACCAGAGGATCCAACATCAAAAATATAAGGGCCGGGGAACGTCGCTTTCTCTTGTATGGTTTTCCCCCTGACGAGGTTAACACTAGAACACAATCAGCGTTCCATTTCTGACATTATTTCTGACAAGTTCCAATTCGGATTTCCCTCTCTGGGTGAAGATGATCTATGCTGAAAAGCTGAGAAATACTGTACGCTTGTTTTTTCTGTACTGGGAATCACTAGCGATGCGCATCCCCAGAAACTCATAATGTCTAACCTGTGACCTTGAGGTCAGTGGTTGATCACTTAACCGTTTGACAATGTCAGCAGTGTGACTGACTCGAATTCAGACAGGATTTAGCAGAAATTAGACAAAAACGCAAACATTGCCTTGGTTATTTTTTGATAAAACGCAATATCCATAAAATATGTTCAGTGGTTCACATATCCTGGCGGTTTTATAGGCCGTGATTGTGCTGTAATCAAAGCGCGAGCAGCGTTTACCAACTAAAGTCATTTTTGGCGTCAGAACCGAATTTCAACCAACCCAAAGGTTCGTGTATACAACTGTAAGAGTAATCACACTTTATTGTTGTGACACACGATACGAGGATCTTAGGCGAATTCAAGTGTTTATTCATTTGTGCCTCCTTGGCCTAGAAAAAGACTGACCGCTGAAATTTTGTGAGGAACTGATGCGTGCACGACTCATTGGTATCGGATTCGATTAAATTTACCGGGATGTGGGGATGTACTACTTAGACAGGCGTTGTTTCTTGTTCCGAGCGATTTTTGATGAAGGGTTCTCGGGAAACACTACATGGTAGCGTGGAATGAAAGTGTCTACAGTCCACCTGAGTGCTGTGGGATCTTTGCACCTTTCAGAGCCCACCTGATCCTGCTTGAAGGCGGTTGGAAATCATGCAGAACACGGCACGCAGCCGATCGCAGTGGCGCACATCTTGTCCATTTCTAGCAGGACCGCCTAGCTAAAGATTGTAGCGACTCGGTCACCCACATACTTGACTGTTCAACTCAATCGCTCACTGGATCGCGAGGCTTGTCTATTTTCTCATACGCACAAACACGTCGCATTAAGCTGACACATCGGACATCGATTGTCTGCACCGCCTAGTCAGCGTAGCAACCACTCATGTGCCGACGCGCCCACATACACGCACTGGGACCTACGTAAAGGCAAACCGAACCCAGTCAAGACACA